TTTTTTTTTTTTTTTTTGGCAGAACCGGGGATTGAACTCAGGCCCTTGTGCTTGCCAGGGAAGCGCTTATTCCACTGAGCCATCTCCCTGGCCACATGTATGGTTTTTAATATCCCCTTCTCCATATGTGGAAGGTAGCTTATATCATGTGCATGCATGTGGCTGTTCAGCTATGTGTGTATACTCATTCATATGTGCACACACACTTTGGCAGTTGTTGTTCTACTTAGCAGCACATCCTGAATTTATGATTTATTGATTTATTTATTTATTTTGCGGAACCGGGGATGGAACTCAGGCCCTTGTGCTTGCCAGGGAAGTGTTTATTCCACTGAGCCATCTCCCCCAGCCCTATATCCTGTATTTTAAAAAAGGTTTAGATCCATCCTGGTTTTGCCATTGTGTGGTACCAGTTTTATTGTTTTACATCCTTACAGTTTTGGATATGAAATTCAGAAATGTAAAAAAAGTAAAGCATCAAACTTAAGGGAAGCACAATTTCTTTGGGGGTCTTGCTTTTTACAACTTGACATATTTTTCCACTTTGGATTTATGTCAAAATGGTATATAGCAAAATATTATATATTGTTATTTAGCAATTGAAATGACTTGTTTACAGATGCAAATTTACTGCTCTTTTCTAGCTGGTAGCTGTGTTTGATGAGCAAGACCCACATCATGGAGGTGATGGCACCAGCGCCAGCTCCACAGGGACCCAGAGTCCAGAGATATTTGGTAGTGAGCTTGGTACCAACAACGTGTCCGCCTTCCAGCCTTATCAAGCAACAAGTGAAATTGAGGTCACACCTTCAGTCCTTCGTGCAAGTAAGTGGGCGCTCCTTGCTCTCTGCACATTTCATCTTAATTTACAGGGATGCCAACTTGTGTTATCCATCCCTGCTCCTGTGAATGGAATTCATTATCTGTTTCTATCAGAAGGCGATTAAGTTCAGCACCTAGGCCAACGTCTTTTGCAAGAGAATCAGGCAGCTCTGTACGTTTTAATAGACGGTGCTTATATTAATTCACACCAGTAGCAGTTGTTGCAGTTAAGGTACCTGGATTCTTTTTCCAGTGTGTTTCATTGGAATGTTAGAGGGGAGAAGGAATCACAAGGCTACCTGGGGAAACACAGCTCAGTCTCACAGATTCATAGCCATTCAGGGACAAGCACTGCTCATGTTAGCTGGACTTTGTAGGAACTGGGGAAGAAGAGATGTGAGGCTAAAGTTGTCTTCAGGATCTGGCAGAGCTGCTGTTTGGGGACATCTCTAGGACAGAGGAGGTAGGGGCCAGGAGCGTCTCTGTGAGGAGGTTCTACATGTACTTGAGGAATTGGGATAAGCATTTCTGGGAGATTTACTCAGAAAAGTCAGATACTTTTGCTAGAAATAAAATTTTGTGTTTATAATTTTCTGAGCTGTTATTCAGTATAAGAACTATGGTAGGAAATTTATGTGGGGGAGGGGAGGTTAGGGAGATAGCTTGTCAGTCTGAGGGACAAGGGCTAGGCTGCCTGGCAAGGGCTAGGACCCAGGTTCGGTCCCCAGTACCATGTGCCATGCTGCCCCAGCCAGAGACGCTGCGCCACAACCTGCCCCCCAAGTGGTCTCCTCGCATCACAGCACTGTCCAGCTAAGAGGCCGTTGTGCCAAGGCCAGAAACCCCGAAGTGCCTGAAACTTAGGAGAACACATTGAATCCAGCCTATTGAACACTACTGTGAACCGCTCCTTTGGTACGCTCACAGCGGTGACATGATTCCTGTATCTCGCTGCCAGTTGGTATGAACCCATGTCATCAGGTGGCTTTTTATTAATTTTATTACTAAAAGACTGATAAAGGTGATGGGCGCTATTTGTGCCACCAGCAGCGCAGGCCGCCCAGCGGGGCGGTTGTGTGTGTACTGTAGGTGGCTTGGTTGGGACATGTTAAACTAGAGGGTAAAAATGTGGTTATCAGCTGGTAATAAAATTGCTGTTAGTAAGTAATGTGCAGCAAGAAAAGAATGCTGCTTATAGGTAGAGATGCACAAAAAATTACATATTTGATTACTAGAATAAAAATGTAAATTTTTCTAAATGCCAGAGATGTATCTCAGGAAATGGAAAGATAGATGAAATAGGCCCTGCTGGTAGGAAAATGACATAAGATTGGATAATAATAAAAATATATACCTATAGGGAAGGGACAAAATAACATACAGGGAGTGAAATACAAACTGCACTTACACTCCTTGTTTTGTGCATTTGATTTCCTAACGATATTATTTTTTATGTGATTAGAAAGCAGTTGCATTTTAAGTTTTAAAACCGCGTTTCAAAATGATCATAATTAATACTAATTACGATCATTCGTAACAAAATGTTAATGACGAGTAATTCCTAATTCTTCAAATCAGGAAGGAGTGTGAAACCCCTAAGCATAAATGTGTATTTAGGTGGTGGCTGGTCATATGAAGAATAACTATTGATAGAACCTGAATGTTTCAGTTATTTGAGCCACTAAGGAGAGATTACCTGCGAAGGAAAAAGCCAGCTGCCGAGCGAAAGCAGCCCGTTGTCTGCGGGTAGAGTCAGCACTGCTGCTTTTGAACTGCTGGGAGGGTGTTGTGGGATGGGGTGGTGTGGAATTTTAGGTGGGTCACAGGTCCCTTACCTGAAATGAGAGACCAGAGGGGTTTGGGGCTTAGAGGTTTGTTTTTTAAAAATATGTATTATGGGATATTTACATACAAATAACAAGATGTCTTAGGGTTGGAACTAATCTACATCTAAACACAAAATTCTCTGAAGTTCATCACACTTTGTATAGACATCTTGAATTTTATACCATATTTTTAGTGCAGTTACTTTTGTTTCTTTTTCTGTGTTCTTAGGTCTTGAACCTACACTAAGTAAGCTATCTTGTCAGCCTATAAAAAACATTTTCCTACATCGGTAATTTGCTCAGGGTGATTCTCCTGCCTCAGCCTCGCTGAGTGCTGGGATTACAGGTGTGTGCTACTACACCCAGCTTTTGTGCGCCTGCCTGCCTCGTATTGTGATACATCTTATAAAGTGAACTGTGGAACTTTACATTTTCAGTGTTACATCAGTACTCACAGGACGTCAGATTTTGGACCATTTGGATTTTCAGGTTAGACATGCTTGGACTGTATTCTGATTCTGCCCTTCCTTATTTCATTGTTGATTTGGGATCCTTAGAATAGAAGAAAAGGGATACAGATTTAGGTTAGAGGACAATGAACAAAAACCCAAAGATTTGGGTAGGACACATACTTATGAATCCATGGTATGTTTTATTTATTAAAAACAAAAAAGAAGCAAGATAAAACAAAGAGAAGGAATCTCCTGTGTTCAGTAAAGAGTTTGAGAATTACAACTGAACATGCAGAACACCCCAGCATTCCCAGCCTTCTGGGGGCCTATGGCAGGAGAACCTCAAGTTCAAACATAGCTTGTGAAACCTACTGACTTAGTGGCATCCTTCTCAATGGAAGAAATTTTTTAAAAAGCTGGAATGTAGCTCAGTGTGAAAGTCTTGTGTTCAATCTCAAGCACCTCTAAAGAACAAATGAACAGCTCTAGGATTGATACGCAACCCAATTAGCTAAGCTGTTTGCATGTCCTTGCTTTGGAAGTGACATTTTCTACAACAGAGGTTAGAGGTCCTTGAAGAAATGGCTGAATTTGGGTCTGGACAGGAACTTCATTAGATGATCCTAGATTCTCCTGTTATATCAGAAAACAGAAGTTATGAGTAATCACTAACCTGAGAACTCTCCTGGGCAAAGATGGCGGAATTAGAGTACCAGTAATGGTGGTGGGGGGATAACATCAATAGATTCAAGAGTTCCTGATGGTAACAAGCAAGCAAAGGATAATAGTGAAACAAGTCCCGGTCTGTTCTACACTGAATGGTATCAAAGAGTAACCAAATACTAGTAGCTAAGAAGGAACTTTTCTCTTATGTAAGTATTCCAGCTAGTAAATGAAGCAGTGAAGAGACAGTAGCCCTGTGTTATTTATCGATCATTGCTCTGGTCTGAATGTGTGTCCCGAAATCACCATATTAAAAGCAATCTCCAGTGTAGGGGGTTAGGAGGTGGAGGCCTGGTGGGAGGTGTGTGAGTCCTAAGGGCTGCCCCAGAGTTTATGAAAGAGTGGGATCGCTCTGTGTGTAGGTAAGGACCACATCAGGTATCTCCATCTTGGGTTTTCCAGCTCAGAACTGGGAGAGAACACTTGCTCTTTATAAATCTGAGGCATTGTGAATATTACCACAAAATGGTCTAAAGTTATCATCAGCCCCTGCTAACATAAAATATAATAATAAATAATGGAATGACAGTGGACCCGTGTATGCTGACTGATGGAATAACACGTACTTATGAATTATTCTTAACGAAAGGTTCACCAAGAAGCGATCAGACACCAGTCTCATTGCCAATTTATAGGAAATACTGGGCAGTGCAGAGCATATTTAACCTGGAGGTACAGTCAGCTGGCTCCTGAACAGACCAGTGGCAAACGAGAACAGAGGCGGAGGGAAGCTTATGGGTTAATGGAGAGTGTAAAAAATAGAATATCCAATTATAACGTGTGGTTCTTGTATTAAATCCTGATTAAAATGAGGCTTTAGAAAAATGAGTGACATTTCCATGCTGATTGGAGAGTTGAACACTAATTGAGTATTTGATATTAAGGAATTATTTCTTTAGGTATAATAATATTAAAATTATTTCTAAAGAGCCTTTATCTTTTACTAGTATGTAACTGAATGGTTTATAGTTGAAATGATGTGTCTTGAATTTGCTTTAGATAGTACAGGCTAGGGCTGTAGGCAACAACCTACCTATGGAGTCAGTAAATTATTCTACTTTTGAATATCTTTAACATTATCCTTAACACAGGCATTTTAAAAAGGAAACATTTATAGGGCAGTACTTTAATACCTAGAAAGATTGCTACTTTTTTCCTTATCCTTTTTTCTTCCATTGTGTACAGTCCCCAATTTTAACCCAGTATGTTTTTTATGCATGAACACCTTTTATCAGTCATTTCTTTTCATATTCTTCTGCAAAAAAGAAAATATATTAGAAAATTAACTCAGATGATGATGTAAAATTTGACTCTATTGTGCGATCATACTAGTCATTAGTACTTAATTGATCAAAATGCTATCACTGTACAAACATGCAACAAATATAGCTTTTATAGTGTGGAACTAGATGAAGACCACCCCCGAGAATGTATAACAGCTGTCTATCAAGAGAGAGCTGGGCACTGGACACCGAGCCAGGCACCATCCCTGTGGCTACAACTCTAACTAGGCTGAGGTGGGGTGGGGGCAGGGGGTGTTAGAGTGGGAAAGAGGAGAGTGCCAGGTGGCAGCTGCTGGTGGGGAGTGGCACTGTGTGACCTGTGGTGCTTTCTCTTGGGTTTCCAAGCTGGAGACAGGATCCAGAGTTTGGAGTAGATGGAGATTTGCTACAGCAGCATCACCCTATGCTCCTAACCATGAGGGGTCTTTCCTCAGAAAATTCTTCTAGTTGCTACATCAGCGGGTATACCCCTGACTTACAATGTCCTTTCATTTTGCTAAAAGGAATTAAGTAGGAGCTAGTTGGGCTGCAGAAGGCTTGGCTGCTTACTTTCTCAACAAGGTCACTGTCTTTAGCATCCTGGCATCCTGGAAGTTTTCATGTGTAGTTAAACATGGCATTAATTAATTGTAAGAGCACAGGTGAGGTCTACTCTGTTTTATAATTCTTAAATGTGTGTTTTTTATATAAAGCAGGGTAAGAACTGTTGAGAGCCTCAT